TTTTTTAGTATACTCTCCTGATAGCATTACACATCAGGCACATCTCCGTCAACTTTTTACAAAAATGTCGGAATATGATATTTTGATAAACACCTCAAAAAGCTTTTTCGGAAAATCAGAAGTAACTTTTTTAGGATATCATATATCATCCCATGGTATTAAACCCCTCGATGATAAAGTCAAGGCCATTAAAGATTTGCCTAAACCAACAACTGTCAAGCAGCTTAGGAGATACCTTGGCATGTTAAATTTCTATCGCCGCTTTATATCTCGCGCAGCCGAAACCCAAGCACCGCTTAATGCTCTATTGAAAGGGTCAGTCAAAGGTAACTACCCTATCGATCTCAAAGGAGATTTGTAACTAGCTTTCGAAGAGTCGAAACTTAGTCTTTGTGATGCAGCACTCCTCGCATACCCAGTCTGCCAAACTCAATTAGCTGTTACCACAGATGCATCAGATACAGCTGTAGGAGCTGTTCTCCAACAGAAGAAGGAAGGCTCCTGGTAGTCGTTAGCTTTTTACTCTTATAAGTTGAGTCTCTCACAGCGTAAATATTCGCCGTATCATCGCGAACTCCTTGCAATTTATCAAACTATTAAGTATTTCAGACATATGTTAGAAGCGACAGATTTTACTATTTATACCGATCATAAGCCTCTAAGCTTTGCTTTTCATTCCAGAAAATCTAGTTGTTCCCCGAGGCAGTATCGCTATTTAGATTTTATCTCCCAATTTTCCACCGTACAACATATTTCCGGTACGGATAATGTTGTCGCAGACACGTTATCGCGCATTGAGGAATTGGAGATAATTGATTTCAGTTCGTTAGCTAAAGCCCAAGAGTCAGACAATGAACTCAAAACTGTTCTCGAAGAGGGCACATCATTTCGGCTTCAGAAAATTAAAATCCCTGGAAGTAGGTACGAGCTGTACTGTGACGTCAGCACACCAACTCCCCGGCCTTGCATTCCGAAAATAATGCCCCAACAAATCTTTGATAACATGCACTCGTTGAGTCATCCAGGGACTAGCGCCACTGTTAAGCTGATTACGCAACGTTTCGTATGGAACGGAATCCGTAGGGATTGCAGAGAATGGGCACGGTCTTGTCTACAGTGCCAACGTGCCAAAGTCAATCGTCATGTGTCAGCGCACTTAGGATCTTTTCACCTCCCAAGTGCAAGATTTCGACACATTCATATTGATTTAATAGGTCCTCTCCCTATTTCGAACGGTTATCGGTATTGTATCACAGCAGTCGATAGATTTTCGCGATGGCCTGAAGCAATACCCATTATGGATATAACCGCTGAAACTGTAGCCAAAGCTTTATTGCAAGGTTGGATTTCTCGTTTCGATTGTCCAAGCATCATAGTCATAGATAGAGGAAAGCAGTTTGAATCCGAACTCTTCAAATTCCTGTCTCTGATGATTGGTTTCCAACACCGTAGAACTACATTATACCACCCTGCTTCTAATGGTTTAGTCGAACGTTTTCATAGGGAACTAAAAACCGCCATAACATGCCACGCTAAGACTAACTGGACGGATTTTCTACCATTAGTTCTATTAGGGATTCGTAGTACTTTTATATATTCTTTATTGCACAGATAACACTAAGATATTATAATTTGGAGACAATGTGAGCAATGGTGGACTTATCCCTAGAAGTGATCTCTTCCAGTCAACCTAAAACAGTGGGATATGTGGTACTGTGTGAGTAAAAACTGGTGCAAACAAAAAAAATTGAGACTTACAACTTGGAAGCTTAAGTGTCCTTGAGTGACGGCAAAGGCGTTTGGGTCTTGAGGGAGGTGGTAACAATTGGAAGCAAGAACGAAGGTAGGAAGGTAGGAATTGGGATCATTAAGAATATTAAATAACATGGTCAGGATATGTATATTAAGTCGTTGACGGATTGGGAGCCACTTTAACCGAGCGCGGAATTCGGAAACATGATCATATTTGCGCAAATTGAAAATGAATCTTATTGCTAAATTTTGTAAGCACTCTAGTTTATTAAGGAGCTCCTCAGTCATGTCTAAGAAGCAGACGTCAGCATAGTCTAAAATGGGAAGTAAAATAGATTGTGCGAGCATAATTTTGGTACCGAATGGAAGAAAATATTGGAGACGTTTAAGAGAGTGATATGAAAAGTGTATCCATCTACTAATATCATTTATATGAGAAGTCCATGACATTGTGCTATCCAAAATTATACCCAAGTTTTTTACCCTATCCGCATATTCTATCTGAACACCCTCATAAACAAGTGGAGGTACTACAGACCAATTCACCTTATACCTTAGTCTGCTACTACCAATTATCAAAGCTTGAGATTTAGTCGGATTAACAATGAGGCCAAACGAACTGGCCCACGATTGAATAGCCAAGAGATCACTATTTAAAGCAGCAATTGTTTGTGTCACGTCTAACAATGAACAGTGACAATACAATTGCAAGTCATCCGCATACAGATGGAAGGGAGAAGTAATGGCTCGAGAAATATTGTTGATAAACACAGAAAAAAGTAATGGACGGTAGGGAAAAAAAAATTCTAATGTAAAAACTTGACGTTCATAAGCGGCTAAAATGTCCTACATGAATAAATGATTTTTGAATTTGAATGGAGAAAGTACACCGCCTTGAGGTACACCAGCAGTTAAAGTAGTCCAGTCAGAGGAACCCTCATTAGTCTTAATACATTGCTGGCGACCGAAAAGAAAAGAGGAGAACAATTCTATAACAGAACTAGAGATTTTAACGGCACGGAGGGCACCAAGGAGAATGTCATAATCGACAGAATTGAATGCACTGCTAAAATCTAATAAAATAATAGCAGTCAATTTAGTGTAATCCATAGCCTATATATGTCGTATATCCTCGGTAATATTGAGGAGTGCCCCGGTAGTGCTGTGGGAGGGACGAAACCCTGACTGGAACGGACATAACTGATTATGGGTGGAAAGGAATTTGTATAGCTGATTGTGGACAACTGATTCGAGAACTTTGGATAGTAATGGAAGAATGGATATGGGGCGAAATTGGGAGAAGCATTTTGGATTGGCGGATTTAGGAAGCGGAATGACAAAAGCCTTTTTCCACTGTGATGGAAAGACACTGTGCCCGAGTGAAAAATTAATAATGTGAGTGAGCACAGGCAAAATGCCCTCGAACACAGGAATGATTATATTGAGACTAATGTTGTCCCTACCAATGGCTTTAGTGGAGAGGGAATGAATGCGCTTCCCAACAGCTTTTAGGGTGATGGCACTGAAAATAAATGAAGGGCAATCGGATGGGGCAAGATTAGAAAGAAATGAGACTGAATTAGCTTTGGTCAGACTACTAAGGGTAATAGGAGAAGAAGAAAAGTGCTTATTTAACGCATTGAGATCTAAATCACTCTGACAAGATTCAGAGGACTTGCCAACACCCAGCGATTGGAGAAATTTCCATACTTGAACCCGATTAAGGTTTAATATAGTAGAATGAATATATCGGCGTTTAGCATCCCTACACATTCTGTTGCAGATGTTGCGGAGCTTTTTGTAAATATCAAAGTTTACTTGTGATCTCTCGTGCTTGTATCGACTTTTAGCCCTGTCACGTTTGGCCATACATCTCCTAATAATGGGAGTAAGCCAAGGCGCAGGAGCATGTTTAACACGGACAGGACGAATCGGTGCGTGTTTATCATAAATTCTCACCAGTTTTCTGTTTAGTATCTCAATCATTGTGTCAACATTATTAGCAAGATATACAGTAGATCAGTCTACACTCTAGTTTTAAAAAGGATTTACAAAGTTCATCGGCTGAAATCATATATGGTGAACCCTTAAGACTTCCTGGAGAATTTTTTCACTCCAGCCTAAACGGTACCACAGACATTACTGATTTCACAGCCCGACTTAAATTATTTGCACAAAACTTACAACCCTGTCCAGCGTCCCGTCACAGTACTGGCAAAATATTTATTTATAAAGATTTAGCTACCACCAGTCACGTTTTCTTACGAGATGACACAGTACGTGGAGCATTCCAGTCAGCATATACCGATCCTTATAAAGTTTTAGACAGAGGTCCTAAAGTTTTTAAGTTAAACGTTAAGGGCAAAGCATCCCTGGATGCACAGGGTCAAAAGTACTGGTCTGCTCTGCATACCTACCTGGACATGATGAAAACAACAAAATCATCAAATACCCGACAACCGGCCTACAGCCTGTGGTGGAATACGCCCGTAAGCACAAGGCCGAACTCCTCGTGGGCTGCGATGCAAACGCCCATCACACAAACTGGGGAAGCTCTGACATCAACACCAGAGGTAAGTCACTTGATGATTTTATACTAACCAACTGTCTTCAAATTCTAAATACAGGGTGCACACCGACGTTCGTCACTGCCACAAGACAAGAGGTACTAGATATAACACTCGCGACCGACAAACTGGCCGAATATATCACTCATTGGCATGTCAGCAAAGAGAACTCCATGTCTTTCATCACAAGCACATCAGATTCACAATTGAGGCTGCAACAGACTCAATCCCCATACTCTACAGAAACCCAAAGGTTACAGATTGGCCTTAATACAGAGAAGGTCTTACAAGCCTAATTGCGGACCTTCCGAAGAGTATCAAATATACTCTATAACTAGAACTCGCTGTGGACATACTTCTAAATGGCATAATAAGTGCCTACCAGAGCAGCTGTCCCATCAAAACCAAAACCGCCAAATGTAAAACACCCTGGTGGAACAAGAGTCTAGAAAAAGCTGAGGAGGAAAACTCGCAAATTATCCAACAGGGCTAAAAAGGGACCTTCTGAATGGGCCCAATATAGTAAAGCCCAAACGGAATACTACTGCGAAATTAGGGAAGCCAAAAGAGCATCATGGCGTGCTTTCTACGAGAAGATAACTCAGACTCCTCAAGGATCCAGATTACACAAAATGCTTGCCAAGGCGCCAAATAACCAAATTGGACTTATGAAAAGGCCCAATGGTACCTATACGACATCAGAGGAAGAAACCTTACACTTTCATAATAAAAATCATGGAAAAGGTTCTGGACATTAGAGCTACAATCCTCGAAAATGCTCCCTTGCACAGGAATCAACATGCCTACCGCAAGGGACATTCCACAGAGACCGCCTTGCTCGATCTCACCGACAAGGTCGAGAAGGCCATTGAGGAAAAACAAATAGCTCTATGTTCATTTCTCGACATTGAGGGTGCTTTTGATAACACGCCCATAGAGACCATCTCACAGGGACTCATCCGCAAGAAAGTGGATGAAACCACCACTCAATGGATCAAAGCAATGCTCTCAAATCGAACAATTAAAACTACTCTTCATAACAGTACGTTAGAAATCCGACCTACCAAAGAATGCCCTCAAGGAGGTGTTTTATCGCCACTGCTGTGGCTACTAACGGTAGACCAGCTCTTAGATGTTATGACCAAAAACCAAGGTGGTACAAGGCTACGCAGACAATTTAGTAGTCATGGTCAGAGGGTTCTGTGCAACAACCATATCAGACCGCATCCAAAGAGCACTAAACATCATAGTTAAATGGTGTAAGGAAAATGAATTATAAGTAAATCCTGATAAAACAGTAATTGTTCCGTTTACAAAAAGGAAGCAACTTGACAAACTTGTCATGCCTAAAGTAAATGGAAGAATATTAGAGTGCTCCAAAGAAGTCAAGTGGGCTGCCTGGACCTGGGCGTAACCTTCGACCAAAAACTGACAAGGAACACACACATAGACAACATAACTCAAAAGACGAAAACATCTCTGGGAATAAGCCGACGGGTAGCGGGGTCCAGATGGGGAATTGACCCCAAAATTGCCCTATGGCTTTACACAGCAGTGATTAGACCGCTTACCACCTATGCCTGCGCAATCTGGTGGCGAAAAACCCTCCAATACACATCTGTTACCAAGTTAAACAGCCTACAGAGAATTGCTTGTCTGATTATTACAGGAGCCATGAGCACCACGCCGGGAGCAGCTCTAGACGCATTATTGGACTTGACACCCCTTCCTTTATTTATACAGGAAAAGGCGAAAGCCAATATGCTCAGAATAAGTTCCCAAAGGAGGATATCTTGGCATTCCCTGGCCATAAAAACTATACAAGACTCGATAATGAGTGATCCTATTCTGGGAATGCCTGAAGACAACATGGCACCAGAGTGTAACTTTGTACAATATTACAAAATCGAAATATCTGGAAGAGACGAATGGCAAAATACACCGACTCACTCAGAGCATGACCTAGTTTGGTTTACAGACGGGTCCAAAATAGGAGATGATGTAGGATGTGGAATATGCGGTGGTGGTTAAATGGTGTAAAGTCTGAGGGAACTAGTATTAAAATGGGTGTTCCTCAGGGCTCTATTTTAGGTCCTTTCTTATTTTTAGTTTACATAAATGATCTTCCTTATATGGTAGAAAAGATAGCTGACATAGTTCTGTTTGCTGATGATACTTCATTAGTATTCAAAGTCAATCGACATATTAATGATTTGGACGCAATAAACGGTGCTATCTCTTATGTTTTAAAATGGTTTACTGCTAACAATATGTTATTAAATTCAAATAAAACTAATTGTATCAAATTTACTCTCCCCAATGTAAGGCCGGTAGATTAAAAAATCATGTTGGATAATAAACCTATTAATTTTGTGGACGATACTGTATTTCTAGGTATCACATTAGATTCCAAGTTGCAATGGGGTGCTCATATTACTAAATTGGCGAGTCGACTTAGTTCTGCCGCTTATGCGGTAAGAAGAATTAGACAATTAACAGACGTGGCAACGGCTAAACTTGTGTACTTTAGCTATTTCCATAGCATTATGTCGTATGGTATTTTGATATGGGGCAAAGCAGCTGATATAAATACAATATTTATTTTACAAAAGAGGGCCATTCGCTCCATTTATAGCATGGGTTCCAGGGAGTCTTTGCGAGAGTGCTTTAAGGAATCAAATATCCTCACCGTTGCTTCTCAATATATTTATGAAAATATCATGTATGCCAGGAAGAATATAGACAGTTTCAAAAGAGTTAGTGATTGCACTAATAAAAGCTTACGTAACAAAAACAAACTGATTTTACCTAAATGTCGTTTGGCTAAAGTTAGTAATTCGTTTTATGGCAATTGCGTAAGGTTTTACAATAAAATACCAGAGACTGTTATAAATCTGCCAGAAAAAAGATTTAAATGTCGAATAAAACACTTCCTTTGCAAAAAAGCTTACTATAAAATTGAAGAATTCGTTAACGATAATAATGTTTTTGTAGAAAAATTTTAAATACATAGCACTGACAATATTATCTGATTACACTAATAATGAGTGCGTAGCGATTTCTATGTTGATTATCGCATGCCTCTTATTTGTTACACTGTAATTATTTATATAAAAAAAAAACATCTATTAAAAAGAGCAACACACAAGTTTCTTGCTCATTCTTCTTGTGATGAATCTGCATTCCGAATGAGTGGTAGAATCAAAATATGACTATTCAAAAGTGCTTGTAATGAGTTTATTTGAATAAAGATTATTTCTATTTCTATTTCAATCAGAACATATACATTTATTCGGACAGTCAAGCTGCTCTACTAGCACTTAACTCGTACGAAATCCGTTCTAAACTTATTAGAAACTGTATCCTGCTACTAAATGAAGTAGGAAGCAGAAATAATATCATTTTGAGATGGGTCCCCGGGCATTCAAATATTGAAGGCAATGAGAATGCCGACCATCTGGCAAAGTTAGGGGCAAAAACCGTCCAACTGGGCCCCGAACCCTTCTGTGGTGTGCCTCGTTGCCTAAAACTGGGACATCTCAAATTAATAACCAACCGAGAAGCACTGAATCACTGGCAAGAAATGCCAGGATTAACACATTCAAAAGACCTAATATCGGGCTTCTCGAACAAATACTCCAATAGACTACTGCTATTGAGTAAAAACAACATATGCATGATGACTAGGGCCCTCACAGGACACTGCAAATTAAACAAGCATATGGCTAAACTAGGCCTATGCACGACAACTATCTGCAGATTCTGCCAAACTGAAGAGGAAATGCCGCTTCACGTCCTATGTGGTTGTAGCCCACTCATGCATAAACGAAATATCTCCTTTGGAAAGTTTACACTCTTTCCCGAGAAGATAAAAACCATCGCTCCTAAGAATATCCTTCAATTTTTGTCCCTGACGGGTCTAGGTAGCGAACTCTGAAAGGGCGAGCACAATAGATCTATGCAGGTCGCAGTGCTATAGGTGCTACACATCTGACAATAGCCCAAACAAACCAATAAAAAAAAATAAGGGCAAAGCAATGACAATAACGATAGACAGACTTAAGCCAGCCTATATATTGTCACTTCATCAATGCCCCACTAAAGAATACTCAGCCACACCTCCAGATATATCTAACCCTACTTCACCAAAACAACAAAAAACTACACGATTTAGTAGAACAGTACAATTACCCCTATTTTATCGCCCGTAGTGACGGTCTTTGGGGGGAGCGATGTGGCCTACTTATATACATATTTATACATAATAATATAGTATTAAGCATACATACATAAAATACTTTTAATAGCAATAATATATTTTATAGCATAGCTCTCTAGCGCATTGCATTGCGCTGGAGTCCCGCCGGCCGCGCCGGCCGAGGCAGATTAATGTAAACAAATCAAATTTCAAATGTAAACAATACGACCGCAGCGACTAGTAAGTCAGTCGGTTTCAAAGCTTACGAGAAGTTCACGTCTTTCGATAATAAGCTCCTTGTTCTCTACACCTGCTTACGCGCCCGTGTTTAAACCATATCATTCTGGACTTTTAATTTTTCCATATTGTTGACCTCCTTCTGTTAATTAATAAATAAGTGTATTGTGCCTAAACACCAGGCGCACCCCACATCCGAGGTCGAGCAATGGAGTAAATAAATATTGTATGAGTGCAATGAATGCAAGCATGTATGAATATTATGAATAATGTTTGGCATTCTAAATATATATAAAAATAATATATTCTTGTAAGCTATGTTTATTTTTTATAATAATAAAATTAGTATCATATTTTATGGTTTTTTTAATATTGCAGTAATTACCGATATCCAGAATGGTGAGTCTATTCTTTTATATTATTTATTACCGTGGTGGCCGGATCAATATGCTCCCTCTAACAACGTTGAATGCAATGGATGGCTGGCTCATCTATCATACTCGTGAATGGGCTGCTTGTAGATCTGTTCGGGTTACGAACACTGATTAGACTAAATTAGAAATTTAAAATGAATCTGCTTTAATTTAAAATGAAGTTTGCTTTAAATTTAACACATAGTAATAAATAAAAATATCGTTTCTGCAACCAAAGCTGAAGGTAAGTATGTCATAAATTACAAAACAAAAATCTCTTTATAAAGCACTTCTAAGTAAAAGTGCAATATTTTAAATTTTATTAAAAGAAATTTATGACAATGATGTAACGAAAAAGTGGCATGAAAAAACGACCCGATCAGTCGGATCCTGACAAAATTGGAAGTACGAGTATACATATAGTTGAGTTAGTCACGGTGACATGTTACTGTTGAGTGGACCGACTTGGGTCTGAGTTCAAAGTTAAAATCAAACTAGCGTAAGACATTTTTTGACAATTTTCATGTCAGTTTTTTATTACTGTCCCAGTTTTTAATAACTCTCCAGGTTGCCTGAGAAAAACTGGTAATAATAAAAAAAAATTAAAACAATTGTAAAATACGAGGGTATTTTATTCATCACTTTGTTGTTATTCATGTATCCACAGATATTTATTCCATAAAACAAATTAATGTATTTCTGGGTTAGATTATCTGATAGATTATGACTTTGAATTAAAGAAGAAATCTGAGGTATTTTATTCACCTGCCTGAGAAAGGTTTGAATATTCCCAGAAACCAGCAGATGACTGTGTACTGACAGAAATAGGTAGGAGAAGGCGGGACTCACCGACCGGGCTAATTTGATGGTGAATTGAAGACCTTGGGTTCACCCTTCGTCCTTGACTCCGATTCCACCAGCAGTATGTTTCACAATTATAATACACTAGACTCGTGAATTCACACAGATTTTCTTGTTAAATCTCAATTAGAACATGAGTGATGTCAACTCAGGTATTAACGGCAGTCATAATGAATTGCACGTTTTCTTTTTTTCGGGGTTCACACGCTCACGCAGTTAGCACCGGTTGGCGGGAATATTTGAATTTGGAAATTATTGAACGAATGAAATATCTTCTTATCGTTGATTAATACAATGATATGGGGATTGGAAAAGGATGTCAGAACATACCCCCCACTTGGATTTCAAAGGGATTCCACCCAGCAATAATTATTGACTGTGCTTGAAATACCTACACTAGATTTTGTACAATATAAAGAATATATAACAAGTAAAGTAAGGAAAGTCCTATAACTGGAATAATATATATTTTGTATAATAATATCTACTAGAATCTTATTAATTTTACTACTAATCCTACTACTATATAGAGTTGGGACTGAGAT